CTAAATATATGTATTTATCATATCCCACTACCGAATTGAACAACGGCTGCAAGAAATTTGACATGAAAATATGCATATCAAAAACAGAAAATGAGTCGAAACCGTAGTCCCCTGAACCTCCATGCCAACAGTAAATATTGAAACAGGTGAGGAGTTTAAATGTCTTGGGAGCACTTTTTCTGAAAACGGGTCCGTGGGAAGAGAATAAATAGATACGCAGACTCAAAAAGCCGACATGTCACCTACTAGCTGGCACCCCTTCTATCTCACCCAAACATCTCATGGACAAAAAGAGACAGCTGATCACTTCAATATCCATATCAGCATTATGCTACCAGTGCCAGACCGGGACATTAAGTAAAACTCATGAAAACAAAATCAATGCATGCGAGATGAAATTATGTCTCCGCATAACCAGTACACCCTGAAAGTCCAGATACGGGTCAAAATTATGGATTTTGAAATGTGAGCAGTTTTGTCTTCTTCAGCCTCTCTTACAACTATTTCATTGCATAAGAACCCTCTAAAGCCTTATTTTTTCACATTTCAGGAATGTTAGTCACCAACATAATATTATCCTCACAAAGTCATTCTCTATTTTTCTTATCGTCCGTTTTCTCAAAATGAGATAATTCTACTTTTTTTGGGAGGTAGAATTCCGCCATTTTTCATCCAATCTTCATGACGTTTTCACAGAATGAAAAGAAGATGTAACATTTAATATTTTTTTGCATAATGTCTAATATGTGGAATAGATTTGTGTTATTGGTGTCTGGAGTGTTGTTTTTTTTACACGTTTTATTTTGGTGGGTTTTTGTTGTAAATTGTATACTACTACAAGAAAACCCCCACTAAAATTGTCTAATTCGTTGAGGAAAAATTCCAGCAGGTGGTTAGACAATGGCTTCATTCTGTGGGGCAGGATACACGTGCTGTATGACGAGGTTTGGCTATCGTAAGCTAATGTGAACGAGGAAGAGCGAGGAGAGCGAGCTGGGAAGTATGTTGAAACGGATTAAAATTCGTTCCTGTTAACCGAATCTGCTGGATTTTAAACAAAATCGTGTTAAAGGAAGTAGTATTTCATAGAATAATAAAGGGGAAATTGGGAAATTGAAATCCTTTAGTGTTAGCTGGAATTTCGTAATGAACGCTTTCATGTTAAACAGAATCTACTAACTGTATCAGTGGGTTTTTTTTTAGCTTATTGTAACAGTCCTTGGTGTTACAGTTGTGTGTAACTGGTTACAGGTGTGGAGACTCCCATCCCAGCCAACTGATTGCAGATAAAGGCACGACATCCATTCCATTGTAAGCCTGAAGGCGAGAAAGTTGTAGTCATGGACAAATACTGTGACAGCACTAATATATGTAATATATGTATTTCAAATCTTCTCCTTGCATCTACATTATTATGTCAAAAGCAAATCATGTTTATTATGTTGTTGCGAATGGTTGATACACTCGTCTTCTTTCGCTGCCATCCTTCTGCTCTTTAACTATTCGTCTCAGTCAGCGCATGATTGTGTGTGTGTGTGTGTGTGTGTGTGTGTGTGTGTGTGTGTGTGTGTGTGTGTGTGTGTGTGTGTGTGTGTGTGTGCATGAGTGCATGTGTGTCTTTTTATATGAGTAAAGCACGGACCTCAATGAGGGGAAAACGGGCTGTTTTAGAAAGCTATAACTATGTTACTGTGATTTTTATTATCATTATCCTCCTCCTCCTCCTCCTCCTCCTCCTCCTCCTCATCATCATCACCATCATCATCATCATCATCATCATCATCATCATCATCATCATCATCAAGGTTGCTTACTTCATTTTATTTTGCAGTCTAAGTGACTTTTCAGAATATATAAGTGCAAATTTCTTTCTAAAAATCTGGTTTTAGTTGGCTAAACCCGAAAAGCAAAAAAATATAGATATGATGTATTGGTAGACAAGTAGACGTCGCGAGTAGAAACAACCCCTTCCCTCCCTTCCCGTAAGAACAGACAGAGAAACGAACAAACAAATAAAATAACTGATATACAATTGAAAAACAAAAATCAAATAAAAACAAAATAATGCTAGACAAGGGCTTCAAATTATGGTCAAAAGTAATTTAATAGCAATAGCTACTTGAATCGGTCCACTCTTAGGAGTGGTGCTGAAAATTTTAGCTGTTTGATTTGTTGTTTTCTCAAATATTATGAAATAGGAACAGATTGACTGTCATGTTGGAGCCTGGAAGCGCGTTTCCATAAAGTTTCAAGTCAAGTGGTTTCTATGTTACTTATTATGTATTTATAGAATCATAAATGTCAGAAGATAATCTTGTCACTGATTAAAACACGATCTAGACTTGTCGAGTCATGTCGGCATCCTTGTCTTAATAATTTCTCTTAAAAAAATTCCTTATTCCTCTAAAAAAACCAACCGACAAAAGAAAAAGAACAAACAAAACCCTAAAACACCATGCTTATTAGTCAGCCACTCCGACCTCCGTTCCCTTTTCTTGCCTGCAGGTTATCCGCAACTATGCATTATATTACTATATTTTGTTTCTATAAAGATGTTGGTTTATAGCGGACATCTTGACTTTCACATAGCCTCTATAATCTAATTTTTAAAATATAGATGTTTTATGCCCTCACCGACACAATTTGAAACATTTAGGTGACTGGCTTCCAACCCTGGCTGTCAGGGCCAACACGGGCTGAGAGGAATTCAACATCTCAGAACAAAACCAAGACTCTCGATACAAATTTTCCCCAGCACGGGAATCGAATTCTTGTCTCTTGTGTGAGACAGCGAGCGGCATAACCGCTATACCAGAGACGCCGGTCTGATCTGCGAGTAGGGCTTCACGAGTTCTTAACAGTGTATAAAGACTACACATTTGGGGCGCTGGGCACAGGGAAAGATGCAAGGTGTGTAATTTCCATGTTACTGCTAACCAAAAAAAGACAAAACGGAAAAGCTCAAACTAGATCTATTGTCATTTCCGTTTTGTACAAAAAACAAACTATAAACAACTAGACCAAAAAATATGCTCGAGAGACAGACGGATGAAAGTCAGTCAATTCGTTAATTAAATCAAAGTAGACTTAGCGTAACAAATGCACATTATAATATGGATTTTTCTTGCTTGTTTTGTTTTTGTTTTAGAATAACGCTGTATGGCCTTTCCACCAAAACATGTCAGTCGTTGTCGATTAAAAACCAGATCTGATGACCGGATGTTGTTATCTCTTCCGCTTGCAAAGAAAACCTGGGGAGAACTGGTTGTAGCGAAGCTTTATTTTTTGTAAAGAAGAAGAAGAAGAAGAAGAAGAAGAAGAAGAAGAAGAAGAAGAAGAAGAAGAAGAAGAAGAAGAAGACCATTGACGTCAACAAGAACAACAAGAAAAACAGCAACAACAGCAACAACAACAACAACAACAATAACAACAACAACAACAACAACAACAACAACAACAACAACAACGACAACAACAACGACAGCAGCAGCTGCAGTGTCCATGGACACAATATTATTGGTTCTCAGTACTACACAGTCAAACACGGCGACGTATTAAAAATCAAGAACACTAAAAAGGTTTTCTACATCTGTCCACATACAACTTCGTCTTTAATTTAGTACATGGACGTCATGTAATCTTAGATTATGTTTTACACCGTTCTTAAGAAAGCAAAATCATCTCTGTCTCTGCAGCACAAAAAATGCTAATGTTTACCAGACAGATTACTATTTTTCCAAGGTTTTCTACTTCGTTATGTCTACCTTTATCTCTCCCTTTTGATTGTGTTAATCAGCAAGTCAGTGACGACAATGATAGTACATTCCCCAGAACTTTCAAGTCAACAAAACTATTGCAGTGATTTTTTTCTCACAATGCACACGACATAAAACAACTTCAAATATACCGTCATAGTAGGTCGTCCATTTTTCAACAGTTTTGCTTGTCAGGTTGAATCGTTTTTTGTGGCTTTGCAGAAACCAATGTGCGTGGCCAAGAATGGTTGTCATGTAATTAGTTTCTTCTTCTTCTTCTTCTTCTTCTTCTTCTTCTTCTTCTTCTTCTTCTTCTTCACTGTCACACGCAAGAGACCCGAGTTTGATTCCTTAGTGGAATGAATTTGTATTGAGTATCTCGGTCTTTCTGCTGCAACATTTTGTGTACTAATGGATAACACTGAACCCAGAATAGCCTCAAGAAGGGTCCATGATTCTAGAGGGCCTAGAATACACTGCAATCCGCAAGAAAGGTTTTTGGTTCCACCATGAAAAGCTCACGTGCGATTTGTGTCCCGTTTGGTTGTCCGGAGATGAGAAACTGAAGCGAGGGAACCACTATTGCACCGACGCATTACTTTGGTAGCGATGAATGTGACCTCAAGGGACCTCATGGGAACTCTCGTCAACGTGACGTTAGATCATGTAAAAAAACATGAGGTAGCTGTGTCAACCGTGTTCACAACCTTATTTGAGGAAAAATTTCACCATATTTCATAAATATAACAAACTCTCGCATGCAAACATAAGTTATCACGACCCTCATCTTAAAGTGCCTATCTTGAATTAATTAAACTGGATTCTGTTTCAGAAAAAAATGAATAGAGCCTAACTCCAACACGTGCAATGTAAAACGCATAATATCAATTCTAAAACGGCTGATCATATTATCGTTCGCTAAGATACACACAAGTTCTACCTGACTGTCGGAACTTAGACAAATGGGCACACTTAATAAAGACGTTCATTTTCAGACCGGCCACTATGAGATTATGTAACTCCTATAGTTCGTGAAATGAAGCTAAGACACGACAGCACTCTTGCTGTGACGTAACACATCCTTCGGTCGAAGGATACAAGTGGGGACATCTCGCACGACGCACTACTCTGGCCACAGACACCCAAAGACCACAATGTTGCGCGCTGTCTTCTTCATAGGAATTACGCTATCGACCTGTAAGTGCTAGAATATCCATATTTGCCAGTTTGCTACATTTTTCAGTTGGCATGACATTATAGCCAGACAAAATTGTACTAATCAATGCTTTTGCTCCAATTGCAATAATAATTTAGATAATTCAGGGGATAAGCTGCTTCGACCCTGCCTCACAGGGACAGCCTGCTTAAGGGATACATAGTCTGGGCGGACATATTGAGATACTGAGATACTGGATAGACCCCCCCCCCCCTTGTGAAACAAACGCACATCTTCTACCAGCGACGATGGAGCGCCTATCCGTTACACAAAAGACGTCGGCACAATGACGTATAAGAGTGACTAATACATGCATTACTACATTTGGTTGATTTTCGTAAGAATATAAAGTCTTTGCCGTAACTGAAGCAATTCAAACGTAGGATTCTTAGCACAGTACTTAGAGTACAATGCGAGGAGTCAATGTCAGGAAGAAAACTGAAACAATTTTCTAAGTCAAATGTTGAACATATATAATACATGCATATCTGAATGCGGATGAGCATTGCTGCTATTCCACCGTCAGAGGAATTACAAACTCTGCTTTTGTAAATCGTTTTTGTTACCCTCTAGGTGCTATCATTTTTATGAGGGTAGGGGTAGGTGTAATTCCCAAGCAGCAGGAGAAAATGGGGCTAAAGCAGAAATTAACCTATAAATTAACCTTCGACTTGTATTAATTCTTAATTATTTATTTAATTTTTAAAATGAAAGCATGAGGAAAGCAATATACTGAAATGATTTTTTTAGTCAGAGCAAGCTTCAATTTAATTATTCAACTTACCATGTTACCCCCTAAGGTTTGGGTGCCCCCGATAAAAGGGCGGTGAAAATCGATGCTGGTGGATGTGGATTAAGGCCACTGTTGTCAGATAATGGAGCCTCAGAGATCAACGGCAGGATTGTGGGAGGAACCGAAGCCGTGCCTTTCTCTTGGCCTTCTATCGTAAGTACAGACTACTCGGTAGTGACAATATTACTGTACGTTTTCCTTTTAGCGTCGTACCTGGGGTTCACTCCATAATATTTACCTAGATGAATCCAGTTTTACAGGGTAAAAAAAACTACATTTCCAACAGATCTTGGCATTCTGATATAATAGGATAGAGGGTTTAGCTTTCTTGAACGAAACATCTTTGTACATGTGTGTGTGGTTGTTGGTGGGTGTTTATGTATGTGTGTGTAGGGGTGATTGTTGCTCACTGTCAATTTCAAGAAGTCCCCTCAATCTATTTAGCTAGATCAGTCCTCTCAATATCAAACAATTCGATATTTTAGGCGTGTGTAACATATCATATATACTCAACAAAAGCCTTAAGCAAGTTTTGAAACTATTTGGACGCTGATATAAATACCTCTAAAATTGCATAAACATCAAAGATTACTTACTTCTGTGATCCATTAGAGATATTGGTGTGGTCTTCTGAAAGCAAAAATGCGAACTACAATGGACAAAATGAGAGGGCAAAAAGTTGCATAATATGTAACAACCTGCTCTCAAAATTTGACAAAGAAAAAAACAATCATTATTTAATAAAAAAGGAGGAGGGATAATATTATGTGAACCGTGGGGTTAACAATTTATTTTACAGTAGATCATAGGTACTCAAGGTAATTGGAGTAAAGTCGACAAAAGCGCATATCTGAGATGTTGCAGTCTATATAATATAGAATGGCTTTACTGCCTTTGTTAACACGGCAATGTTATTTGAAAGGCAGGACCTCCAATTTTAAGTCTGTTTTTAATTGCAACGAACCAAGTGACTGAAGAGTCAAGAATGAAAACTCTAAAGTTTAAGAACACCTTGCTGTGGTATTCCAATCAGGGTCATGCACTCGTGTTCTTGAACTTTGGAGTTTTCATTCATGGCTCTTCACACCCTTGTCTCGTTCTGATTGAAAACAGATTGTCTAACAATATCGGAATCAAAATGTCGGCGCAACTTTATACTGCGTGAAACGGAAACAATAAAACAGTATAAACCCTAATCCTGGTGTTTACAACACAATTCATCAAACTTCCGACTTTTGAGTTTTCGTCACAGCTGTCAAGACTGATGAAGAATCTTCCTCGTGGGCCCAAAAGTATTACTATTAATGCTTGTGCAGTGTAGAAATGTAATTTAATTGTATACCAACTCCTGTTTTTGCGATGGGAATTCAGTGCTTTCAAAGTAATTTACGCCAAAATAGGTAAATGTGGAGTTAGAACGAGATAGCACAGAGCTCACGTAATTGCTCGTCATTGTGGACTCCTGAAAAAGATGTAAAAGATCATGGAGCAACAAATGAACTGTTAACATTATCTCAATCTTCACATCAGAATCGTCATATGAGGATAGTTTTTTTTCTCCATACGTCTAGTATAGCCAGCCTAACCAGTAGGAGTTAGATAAACAAAATGACTACATTGAATCTACGAGTAAATCACCAATAGTACAGTTCAGAAAAGTAAGCATAGAGCTATGCTTAACCAACTTTACGACAGTAGAGATCGTGCTTGGAATAAACACTAGAAATGAAGATCCACCACCACCCTCCCTCCAAGTGGCTAGATGTGATGGTGCTTGCATACAAGAAATAATTACTACTTTGTATCTCTTGAAATAGACTTATAAGGCCAATGTGACAGCAGGGAGGTAGTTGATGTCTCGTGGCTGTGAATAAGAAATCTTCAAACAGAGCGATTGCAAACTGATGAGGAAATTTCTCTGAAGTCGCTCGTATTTTTTCAGGACACCTTTCGCCTTCCCAGTCACGTCTTTGGTTATTTATGTTTCTTTCATTCCACTCTGTTCATTTTCGACACAAACGCTTGCTTACGTGTATCAACCATAGTCGTATCACGCCCTTGATAGAACCTTCTTCTGTGCAGGACCCTGTGATGTGCGACGCACAAGACCTCACACTTACGCACTTGGACAGTTTAATTTGCTATAAGACATAATTCCAAACTTAAGAGATTTGTCACCTTGATAAGGTGGGGGGATTGATCAAATCTATAGTTATATCAAAATACCAATTTCCACAATAGCAGGCAAATAAAGACCAATTAACTGCCACATGCAGAAGACCAAAGTTTGCTTATTTTGTGGGGCAAATTTTATCAAGCATCTCGTTGTTTCAGCAGGGGTGTTTTATCCTCTCTTGGCCCGGGTTGACTTGATAGGCAAGGTCGAAGCCTGCCTCCTAAATGATCGAAATTGTTTTGATGTGGGCGTTAAAACATTTGTGAGGCAGCGTGGTGGAATCAGGCTCTCGTCAATTTTTGGGCATGTAGAGTTACTGGTATAGTCTTAAAGGTTGTTTACTTGTGTTTATTTGGATGAAAAAAAAATCCATTTATCTTGATTACAAGTCGAGATATTTGCGAAAGAAAGAGGTAGAGGTCATCTGTTTTCAGAGGTAAAATGAGTGAGAAAATGGCCGCCAAAGATTCGTTATTTCCTTAGTTTAAGAGTCCGTGGTAACTGAAAATTTACATATTTTGTGCCTTTAATCAACGTTTTTCAGAAAAAGTCACACAGAAATGAGTTCTTTAATGGGCATGAAAGGTGTTGAGCGAAAAAACTAAAATTTGATAAAAATTCACAAACCTGCGAAAAAATGCAAGTTTCTTCACTTTGCTTATTTTGACGAGAGCCTGATTCCACCACGCTGCCTCACATTTGCATTAAAATTTAACAACCAGAATCGAATAAAATTATGGAAAACCAAGTAATGTATTCACGTGGGAGGGATTATACCGTACCTACAGAGATAACCCTAAACATCCTAGTGATGTTGTCGAACATTTTGGATTTGGTGCACTAACTAATTAACTTTGCCTGGTATTCCCAACAGTGCAGTTTCATGACCAACACCGGGTACCACATCTGTGGGTCCACGCTGGTGAAAAACAAAGCTGGAGTGTACTACTTAGTCACAGCGGCTCACTGCATTAGGTAAGTCAATACTGGTTGTTTTTGCAAGTCCATATTATTATGCATGTGTGAGTGCGTGCGTGCATGCGTACATCTGTGTGTATGAGAGAAAGAGAGAAAAAAGAGAGAAAAGGAGAGAGAGAGAGAGAGAGATTGAAAGAGAGAAAGAGAGAGATAGAGGGAGAGGGAGAGAGAGA